TAGGGAAAGGGGACAGGGTTGTGTGTGGGTGGGTGCTTCTATTTTGAAAAGGGTGATCAGAAAAGGACTGACTGAGAAGGTCACATTTGAGTAGAGACCTGGTTTGGGGGTTGGGGGGTTGACATGTGGATGTCTGTGTGTATTTGTATGAACTTACGTATGTGTGTTTGTGAGTCGCCAAGGTTTTGAACCAAAATAGTTTCTTTACTGTAATAGTGTCCTTTGTGGTCCATTTCCAAAGTAATACCACCTGATCAATTTGAATAAAAGTAAGATCAGGTTTTGATTTGATTGAATGGTTGATTATGCATTTATGTTAAATGTCACAGTGTGACAACTTGTACCTCTTTTTCAGAGATACCTGCCATGAACTCTTGGGTCATGTCCCCCTTTTGGCTGAACCTAGTTTTGCTCAGTTCTCCCAAGAAATTGGCCTGGCTTCTCTTGGAGCTTCAGAAGAGGCTGTTCAAAAACTGGCAACGGTATAAATCTGGAAATAGCTGTATGGATCAGTAATCTTTAACTGGGGTGGGATGTGGGTATTTGTGTAGTTTAAAAGTACCTACTCAAGATGAGCATTAGAAAATTTGTCTTTGCTCATATTTAATTTAATTTAAATAATTTAAAAACATTAAAGGAAGATGTAAAAATTTAAGGCTTATCCAAAGAAGACCTGAGCTTTAAAAAAAAAAAAAGGCAGAGAGACAGAGAACACTAGAATACTATAATGTTAACAGTTGGTATACCTTCTTTTTTTAGTAAAAATGATAGGTTCCTTAAAAATGATGCTAAAAATATTTTTGAGCACTAGGTACAAAACATGCTGGAAATAGAAAGATGAATAAGGCCTGGTTCCCACCTTCAAGGAACTAATACACACTTACGTTAGAATGAAAGGAGGTCTGTAGAGAAGCTCAGGCAGGGTGCTCTGGGAGTGCAGAGAACTGCCTGTGGAAGGTTTCATGGAAGATGAACATCTGGACGAGCCCTGGGAAGATGAGTAATGTTTTCACCTGCCAGGAAAAGAAGGAAGGGCATCTCAGGATGAGGACACACAAGGAAAGACAGGAGGTGCTTGGTGTATCTGAGGAAATGATAAGAAGCTGGAGCAGAGTGTGTGAGGTTTGGTGTGAAATAGGCTAAATGGTTAGAACAGTGCTCTCAAATTGTGGTTTGGGGACCCCACAGGGTCCTTGAGTAAAAGATCCATTCAAAATGCAGAGTGAATTTTAATGTGAGAGACAGAGTTCATTGATATGGTTTCAGATTCCACCTTACAGCTGTACTTTAAGAAATTACCACTTGTTGTGTTTTGATGTTGTGTCAAAGAAGAATAGCCACAATTATCTGAGAAGGCTATTAAAATATTCAGCCGTCTTCAAACTACTTATCTGTTTGAGGCTGACTTCTCTCCACATACTTGAACCAAAACAACCTACTGTGACAGGTTTAATACAGAAGCAGATGTGAGAATCCATCTGTTTTCCAGCCAGACGTTAAATAATATCAATCCGGACACTAAAAAGATTTGTGACAATATAAAACAATGCAACTTTTCTCACCGTTTTTCTCTTTCTTTCTTTTTTTTTTTTTCTTTTTTGTGGTACGCGGGCCCCTCACTGCTGTGGCCTCTCCTGTTGCGGAGCACAGGCTCCGGACGTGCAGGCCCAGCGACCACAGCCCACGGGCCCAGCCGCTTCGCGGCACATGGGATCCTCCCGGACCGGGGCACAAACCCACGTCCCCTGCATCGGCAGGCGGACTCCCAACCACTGCGCCACCAGGGAAGCTCTCTCACCGTTTTTTTGTACTATAATATAGTTACTTTTGATTAAAATGTTATTTGTGTTACCATAAAATGGTTTATTATAATTTTAACATTAATTAGTAAACATTTAAATTTTTCTCAGTTTACATTTTTAATATGGTAAATATAGCTAGCTCTATCCCACATAAACAAAAGGTCTTTGGGGTCCTCAGTAATTTAAAAAATATATTTATTTATTTATTTGCTTATTTATTTTGGCGGTGTCGGGTCTTAGTTGCCACACACGGGATCTTCATTTCACCATGTGGGATCTTTAGTTGCGGCATGCGGACTTCTTAGTTGAGGCATGCGTGCAGGATCTAGTTCCCCTACCAGGGATCAAACCCGGGCCCCTGCATTGAGAGTGTGGAGTCTTACCCACTGGACCACCAGGGAAGTCCCTCCTCAGTAATTTTTAAGAGTATATAAGAGTTCTGGGAACAAAAGTTTGAGAAGTCTGGTTTGGAACGAGGCCAGATTGTAGAAATACTTGTGAGCTATCCTGGGGGTCTTGGATTTTATTCCAGGGTACTTTGGGTCAGTGACTAAGAGTTGTAATTTGTTTTAATTTGAGTCCTTCAGGATGTGAAAGTAATACTGACGTTCTTTTGCAGTGCTACTTCTTCACTGTGGAGTTTGGTCTATGTAAACAAGAGGGGCAGCTAAGAGTCTTCGGTGCTGGCTTACTTTCTTCCATCAGTGAACTCAAAGTAAGAGCTGTAAATCTTTGCACATAACCATATTCACTTAATGTAATTGATACGACCTGAAATAGTTTCTGGATTTTAATTTATTTATTTTTATTATTTATTTATTATTTTTGGCTGCCTTGGGTCTTTGTTGCTGCGCGTGGGCTTTCTCTAGTTGTGGCGAGTGGGGGCTACTCTTTGTTGTGGTACACAGGCTTCTCATTGTGGTGGCTTCTCTTGTTGTGGAACACAGGCTCTAGGGTGCACGGGCTTTAGTAGTTGTGGCACGCGGGCTCTAGAGCGCAGGCTCAGTAGTTGTGGTGTACGGGCTTAGTTGCTCTGCGGCATGTGGGATCTTCCCAGACCAGGGCTTGAACCCATGTCCGCTGCATTGGCAGGCAGGTTCTTAACCACTGTGCAACCAGGGAAGCCCTAGTTTCTGGATCTCAATAAGAGCTTACTGTGGAAAATACTTGGGGTGGCAGTAAACATTACCTAAGAGGCATTTTTCTCTGTTTCCTAAGTTTTCTGAATAGATATAGATAACTATTCAGAATATAGTTATATCTTTTAAATAAAAATGTATTTTAAAACAAAGTCTTGCTATTGCCTCACCATTTTTGGTGTGCTAGCAACAACTTCGGTCATTTCTAGGGAATTCTTTGAGATGTATTATTTATCCAATAAAGGAATGAACTTATGTTTGTTGAGTGGTGGATGTGCATGAAATATTGTCCAAGGTACAGTCTTTCTCTCAAGGAGCCTACCACCTGCTGGTGGGTACAAGTCATATATAGGAATAACTAGTGCAGGGTAGAAAGCAGATGCCATAATGCAGGAATAAATAAATAAAGATCCTTGGGTACCTCCTAAATGGAGAAGAGTGTTAGAACAGTGGAGTGGTTTGGGGCATTTATAGGGAATAGCAAGCCATTTGTTTTGCTGGCTCTGGCAGTTGTGTGTAGGATGTGATCATGAAAATAGATAGTATCCTTTGATTCACTGACTCTTTATCCTCTAGCACGCACTTTCTGGACATGCCAAAGTAAAGCCCTTTGATCCTAAGATTACCTGCAAACAGGAGTGTCTCATCACAACTTTTCAGGATGTCTACTTTGTATCTGAAAGCTTTGAAGATGCAAAGGAGAAGATGAGGTAAAGTATATCTTCCTCATGCCTTAATTTTCCTCTGCAAAAGATAGGTCCAATAATGGTAACAAGTCACAGAAGTAAGCAGCTGGATAATTAGAAGCCCACTAGGCACCTTTTGCCTGTAACACATCTCTCTTTCACAGTAAATATTTAGGGTGTGTTGTTCAGTGTTGCAAATATAAATCAGATACACTGAGAAATTGGTTACTTCCTATTCCTTCCTATCAGAGAGTTTATAATCTAATAGGAAAAATAAACTGTATGCAAATTACTGTATAACAACTAGGAAGCCTTAAAGAGATACAGATGAAACACTGTTCTGCATTTTATTCAGGAGCAATTCATTCCAGCTAGGGGAACAGGGAAAGCCTAATGGCATTTGAGAAAGGACTTGAAGTGTACACAAGATTTAGATATGTTAATTTTTAGACTAATGGACAGTATTTGGTTTTTATCATTTTCTCCCTAGAAATTGATTGCCTCATATTTTTTTTCTTAAATAGAGAATTTACCAAAACAATCAGGCGTCCATTTGGAGTGAAGTATAATCCGTATACACGGAGTATTCAGATCTTGAAGGACACCAAGAGCATAACCAGTGCCATGAATGAGCTGCAGCATGAGCTTGATGTTGTCAGTGATGCCCTTGCTAAAGTCAGCAGGCAGCTGAGCATCTGACAGTTGCCAGTCCTAATCCCGAAAGCATCTGAGCATTCAGAAGCCTGTGGGCCAACTGTTGCTTTGCTTGATGACCTGGCTGTGGAGGAACAGCAGCCAAACAATATTCTCTATTCCCATTCCTTAATGGACCATTAGTCTTTGAAAATGTGTACCTGGATACTCTAGCCACTACTTTCTTTTTTCTTTTGGTAACAGCTTTAGTGAAGTATAGCCTAATTTTATTTTCCCCAGTTCTTCTTGAGTAAAATGACTTTGATGATCACTTACAATACCTTGGTGGTTATTATGGAGCTGATCCATGTTGTTACTTAAGATTCTCTTATTTCTGCAATAGCTTACTTATAACTGAATTTGTGCCAAGCTTGGTCACATTCACATGCCCAAATTTAATAGGGGATCAGCTGTCTCTGCTGCTAGCCTGAGCAAAAGCAGAGAGGCCTTTGCATATGAAACATACCTGGTAAAGAGCAAATAGTCTATTTTCAAGTGTAGTGTCTTGTAGGGAAAAAGGAGTATCTAAGTCTAGAAAGGTTGATTGGAGTATAATCCTTAAGTCCAGGTGAAGAATTTGTGACCTGCCCGAGTGACCATCCTCCTTGAAACTCTTTTCTTTCTGTGGCATTGCCTATGTTTTACATTATCTGTCCTACTCAAGAGGCCAAAGGGAACTTGTGAGGCCCTGAACTCCGACATGCAGCCCCAGAGAATATCCTCAGGTTAGCAGGAGACAGTGTTGTCAAAGGGAGAGTTCAAACTGAGACAGATGAGAAGTGTGCAAAGTTTAAGTTGGAAAAGCAGTGCCAAGCACTTCATTTCCAAGGTATAAGGTGAGACCATAAATAGGAAGGCCAGGCGTGACAGTCGAGTGTGGGGAAATGGAGAGGAGATGGTGTAAGAAAAGTCAAGAAGAGCATTTTAGGACTGACACTGTAGTAATGAAGGCTGCAAGCACTGGCTTTTATGTGGTGTCAGCGGTGTAGTACAGGGAGCAGGCTTGGTATAAAGCGGTAAAGCTGGAATCCCCAGGATAGGCTTGTGTCTCTTCAGTTTGCTCCTTTCCTCCCCCCACCCACTAAAGGAAGACTTTCCTCAAGTTTCTGTCTTTAGCCCTCTTCTCTCTCTGCTCTCTGCTCACGGGAGATGTCATCCGTGTCCATGACTTTATTTCGTATGTCTCCCATATTTGCAATTCTAACCCTGACATCTGTCTTGAGTTTTTGCCTCTTACATCCAGCTCCCTGCCAGATATTTCCATCTAGATGTCCCATGAATTAGGCCAATGTTGTGTAACTTCTTGTGGCACCATTCATTAGAATGAAATGGGGTTGTGCAACATGGCAGCCCTGCCAAATATCTTAAACTCTATAGGTCCGAAAAGAAACTCAGAATCACCAGAATTTTGTGCCCCATCAGTTTCCTCTCCCAGTGATCTCATTTCTATTAATTGTATTAAGGGTCATATTTTCAGCCAATTTCCCATTCTTAATCAGCTATTTAATGACTGTGTCCTTAATTTTTTCACATTAATAGTCAAATTGAATACCATTTAACATGTTTTATTTCAACAGACAACTAGATATTTTAATCCTTTTTAGGCCTCAAAGGAAATTATTTAAAAAACTCTTAAAAATTTATTTCATTTTATGTTATACAAGGAAATAGAATTAGGAAGAATAATTCATGCTACTTCAGATTTTTACATTACTTATAAATTTTAATAGCTGATCAACTGTTAAGTATACCTTTGATAGTACTAGATCTAAGTCAGCTAATCTAAAACCTTTTGAAATATTGGTAAGGTCGTTTATAGTTAGTGTATTTGGTTGCAAGGAAATCTATGAAGCAAACTATGATAGATAGCAAATAACAACAAATCATGCATACTGTATCTGGTTTGGTTATTTTCATACAACTTTGATCATTGCAAAGAATCGTAGTTATTGAATTTTTAAATGATGGTATTTCAAATCACTCTATGACAAAAGCACACTAAAGTAAATGTTAAAGACACAACGATTATAATTCACATCTTCAGAATAATGGAAATATTTAATGATTGGTTTCAGTTCTTTCTTCTAACCTCTGAATTTATGATATTTGGTAAATGAGGAGTTTTGAGAGTCTTAGAGTTTTCATGCATTTTAAATATATTTCTTCAAATATATGAGAACAGAATTGAACCAAAAGTGTGGTTCATAATTCTTAATCAGTGAGTTAATACTCAGAGACATAGATGATAGATGGTATGTTCCTGACTTTTTGAAGAATGCTACAAAATCTGGTTGTCAGTTGCCTGCATTTCTTTTCTTTTCTTTTTTTTTTTTTTGCGGTACGTGGGCCTCTCACTGTTGTGGCCTCTCCCGTTGCGGAGCACAGGCTCCGGATGCACAGGCTCAGCGGCCATGGCTCACGGGCCCAGCCACTCCGCGGCACGTGGGATCTTCCCGGACCAGGGCACGAATCCGTGTCCCCTGCATCGGCAGGCGGACTCTCAACCACTGTGTGACCAGGGAAGCCCCCCTGCATTTCTTAATCTGCCTATTCTGTCATTTGGAGTTATACAGTGGTTATGACACACCAAAGTGTACAGAATTATAGTTCATTTTTAAATTGCCTTCCAAACTGGAAAAATTAAAAATCCTGGAATTGTCTAAAGGAACACATAATAGAGTTCATATATTAATTTCTAGGAAATGTATAAAGATATTGTGGTCTTATTTCAGTTAGTCTTTATTTTACTATATGATATACATTTATGACTTGCAAGTTTGTTATTCAACTGGATAATAAAAGGACACAAAATTCATGTTCTCACTAAGCATTTTTTTTGTCAAATGTATGTTAAAAACTGCTTTAAATGTATATTAGCAATTTCATTAGTTTCAGAAATCTGTAAGTTCCTTATACTTCTTAAAAAAGCCTACAAATATGTGATGTAAGGGGAGCCAAACACACCTGGAACCTAGAAACCACTTTTTGGAATTCTTGATAAAGTCTCAGTCTCATGTTCCTCATCTGTAAAGTGAGCTAAATCTACCTTACTGGGTTATTGTAAGAATTATGTTGTGAGAGGACTTGTAAAAAGAAACATTAGCCATATGTAAAGAATCATTAATCTCCTAATCAGAGATCCCCATAGCTTCTGGATGATTTTTATCTTCCTTCAGAGGGAATTAACTTTTGCATCGAGCAGATAGCATATAATGGCAGGGGAAGCTCACCTTAGTAATAGCAGGGATTAAGCCAACTTAAAGCTGTGTTTCAGTCTTTGTGAGGGCTGATTTATTTCCAGTTCACCTCTACTCTTAGGGTGCAGCCCTTTAGGGATCTCAAAGGAAAGCTATGTGTGTGTACCAGGGCTTCTCCTTGGGGACCCTGGACTCCTACTTTTCTTTACTCTCATTCCCCCCCACCTCCCGACACCATAAAATTGCTAAAAGTACTGTTCAGTTTCTCAGCTTCTCAGCTGCTGCTTTCAGCTCAGTTTCTTAGCCTCCAAGTCACTGCTTGCTAATTAGCAAATGCTTCAAGCAGAAAAGTAGTACCAAATATAATCTCTCAGCTTTTAGATCTTGGCCTTCCAAGTTCTGGCTGCTTTGATAGCTCTCCGATGACTTGAAACAGATTTAAAAAATATTTTCCCCCAGTTTTTCTAATTGTTTTTGGTGATAGAACTGGTCTGTAGGTAGCTAATCTGCCTTTATTTAAAGTGGAAATCTGACCTTGGAGTAACTCATTTAACTTCTTTGAGCCTCAGTTTTCTCATCTATAAAATAACGATTCCAACAATACTTATCATACCAGTAATATTGAGAGGATCAAATAAGATCATCTAAAAGAAAAAATTTCCTAACCTGTATAGTATGGAGAGATACTCTGTATACTTGAAATACTTTATATTTTCTTCTTATGGGGAGACAAATCACCTGAAAGTGATACCAATTTAAATCTAGCTCCATTCAAGGACTGCAACTCAACCAAGCTGCTAATGGGAAGAGCTAGTCAGTGGTACGTACATAGGTGAAATTATAGCTGCATTTCAACACATCTCAACACTTCCAAGAAATTGTATTATGGGATATAACATAATAATATTAACTGTAAGTTAAAGTTACAGTTAATATAAATTGATGCATGTATATTCAAGGGATGAAATTGGGGAAAAACTGTATCCTTCCAGACCCTCTCTCTATGAAAACTGACTCTGGGTAGTTCCTTCTTGCCCCTTTGGATGAAATCTCAGGTCCCTGTCTTGAATTTTCTGCTCACTCTAAGTCCTTAGCTTCTAATCTCCCTCTCCACCCCTGCCCCCATTTCAGTATTTTCAAATTCGGGTGTTCTGTAAAAGTTCAAAACATTAGATTTTAAGGTTAAAGTTTTTCTTCTTCTCTAGAACTGAGAAAGGAAGAGGTGTGCTTTGTATCTTTATTTTCTTGCTCCTTTTTTCTTACTCACAGGGATGCCTCTGGCTTCGCCAGGGTTTGGGAATGGTAGTGGGGAGGAGAGGTAAGGAGTAGGAAATTCTTTTTGGTTTGATACTGTTGTGAGTTGGCATATGTGCTTTCTGTACTTGGTAAGTATTTAATGCTGACTCATTCTCTGTGGGTGTTTTGAAACACCTTCCCGCTTCTTATTTCTTGGGATCTCTTGATGTGGGTAAACATACCTCTCTGACTGGGCTGTTGAATTCATCTCACTCAGCCTCTAGGAATCTAGTAGTCAACTCTCCTGTGGGTGTCCCTTCAGCTCTCCAGAAATTCCCTTGGACTGGGTCTAAAACCATCCCCTGGCCAATTTGCTCATGCTTGGGAAACACTCACGTGGGACATACTCAGACATTCTTTGTCTTAAAAAGGACATAAAAGACCTCTGGGCATGAAAGACCTCTCCAAAGCATCAATCTCTTTGCTGAACTCTCAGAGCAGTTATCTGGCCACAAGCCATTGGACATTTCTCAGCACAAACTGGACAGCAACCTGCCCGGCCCCAATCTGGAG